ATAGTGGCAGAAGATAATCTGATTACACAATTCAGTTTATGGATATCGTTTAGCAGAGAAGGCTTTTTACTTCTTAAGTGTTTATAATCTCATTTTTTTAGTTTTACTTTTTAAGTGTAATCTCATTTTCCATTACATTATTTTCCTCCCCACTTACTTCATTGCCAGCCACTTTAGCCTCAGGAACATCATCTGCTGTTACATGCATCGCCATTAGGCACTTGCTTGTTAACTTCATCTTTTATTATGTCATTTATGTTCCCTCCTCTAGTCACATGCCTGATGGAGTGGAACTCCTTCAGAAAGTGCAGATGGGGCACTGTGCCTTCTGCAGACGTGGTGACTGTGGGCTTGCCCAGGGAGCTCGTAGGTGGTACTGGCCAGTCAGGGACAGGACACTACCCCCTGGGAACCCCAGAGTCACCCAAGCTCACCAGTATCTTCTCTCCACCTCACCCCAGTGCCGGCTGCACCTGCTGAAGAGCTCTCCTTGGACCCACAGTGACCTTGAGGTCCTTGAGGCCTGGGCTCAGCAGAATCATCTCTGGGCAATCGATGCTACTTAGTTACCAGACCGAGAACAACAGGCAGCTGATTAATCTAAACAGCTAGTTAAAGCAGTCATAAAAATGATGTGTACATGCAGATGGTTTGACTTTATGCTAATGAGCATTTGTCCTCCAGTCATGTGGTTTGAGGTCACGATCATCCCTTTGACTATGGTTCTGTTTGATGTGCCTGGTTGTTATTTCTTGTATAAACTTCGTGGAAACCGCACCATCTATGACTTCCAGACTTAGTTCCTCGAAAGTGGAGCCAGCCATGGGAAGCCATCTGAGAGCAGAGCTTCCCTAGATGTTTATGACTCTCCTCTACTCTCTTAGAACTGCCTTGCCCCGACCTGATGTCATAGCGATTTCTGTTGAGAAATCCTTTATCAAGTCTTTCCAAAACATTCAACCTGGTGTTCCCAGAACGAGCAGCTCCTCCTGTCTGCATCCGTGTGTCATTATGCAATTACAGCAGTAACTAAAACTGGCCTTCCCTGTATGGAAAGGCACCCTGCCGCCCTGGGTAGGCATGAAACTTGCTTGAGGGTGGTGGCAGGACCAGAGAACGGCAGGTCTGGCAGATGTCACCCTAGGGTCTGGAGCATAGAGGGGGAGCTCCTGCTCCTCTGACGGGCTGGTGAGGAGGAGGAGGAGGTCAATTAAGAAAACTTCTACATGTAATAATCCTGCTATTTCCACCAAGTCTAACGGGCAGAGGAAGAGGGCTTTTGCCCATATTTCTTAGTCTTTCTGGGAACTTGGAGGTATGTGTGCTCCCTTCAGGATGTGGCAGGAATGCTGGGAGAGGGTGCTGTGTCCCCAGGGAGCAGGAAGGGTTTGCACTGGCCAGAAATGGGCTGGGACAGAAAGGGAGGCAAGTAGACCTGGGCTGGAAATGGGGAGAGACTGCTAGAATCCCAAGGTGTTCCTGGGAATCCCAGCGCCTGTCTCCAGACCCCTGCTGCCTGGCCTGCCCTCCATCCCGTTCCCAAGGCAGGAGATGGAGGCCTGGGGGGAAGAGCTGGCATGCATGACAAGAGACTTCTGTTAGCCACATAACGCTGCTGTGTTGGTCTGTGACTGAGAAATGGTGCTTCCCAGGGATGATGGCTGTGATCACATGATCCTCATGTGCTCACCGTCCTGTGGGGCCCAATGGTCAGACAGGGCCCGGAGACCAGCCCCTGATTCCCCATCCCAGGCTCCTTGACTTCTTCATGCTCTGCCTCGGATCCTAGACTCTGGGCTGTGTGGGCAGACTGAAATTTTAGGGGCTCCGTGTTAAGGGGGCCTTGGAAAGCTGTGTGAGGCCAGTTTGCCCCAGATCTCACCTGGAAGGACAGCACACACCTAAGCTGGGTTCCCCTCTTCCCAGAGCAGACTGTGAGTGTGGGCTTTTCTATAGCAGGGTCTCAAATGCTCACCCCTGTTGTGTGGGGCACAGCCCTGGGCACTAGGACAGGTACCAGGCACAGGTGTCCCATTGTCACTACACGGACCAGGGATCAGAGGAGGCAGTTACATCCTTCAGGATCCTTCTGCCAGGTCTGAAGGATGACCAGGAGGTGCCAGGTAAGAGGGACACAGGGAGCAGGGGAGAGGGAAGAAAATGCGATTGGTATTTGGGGTTGTTTTGGAGCAGATTTGTTTAATGAGTGTGGAATTTGGAACGCTGGTTGGTTAGGAAGCTGGAAACTAGATGGGATTCAGTGAGCAAGGGCGTTGCTCATAAACGTGCTTTCAGTGGCAGTGACCTCATCGGATTGGTTTAAAAATAGCTCTGCTGGCAGGACGGAGACTGAATTCCAGAGGCAGAAAATCAAGGCAGAGAGACACACGCTAGATGCTCCTGCAGGGAGGAGATAACAGGGGCTGAATGGAGGAGTCCCAGCAGGGAGGTGTCTGTCCGTGTCCTCAGCAGATGATTGTGGAGCCCCTGCTGAGCCCGAAGTGGGGACACAGAGGTGGATAAAACACAAATGGGCCCTGGACGTCAGGGAAGGAAATTGCCCTTGGGACTGCCGCACAGTCTCTGGGAGCTGGTTACCCAGGTGTGCAGGGCTGAAGGAACAAAAGGGACTGCTGAGGTTGCAGAGAGATGAGTAACTGCAGAAAGCAGCTGTCACCCCTTAGAGCTGGGAGGACAGAGGGAGGGAGTGGGAAAAAGCATGATAACAGCAGCTCCCTTGTCCCAGCACCTGCTTTCCAGGCTCCCTCTAGCGCCCCCTATAGGCAGAAGCTGACAGGCAGCCAGCTGCAAGGGAGCCTGGGAAATGTAGTCCACAGACTTCCAGCCCCAGTGTGTGGAGCAGAGGACAGAGCTGGTGACTTTGCTGCCAGACAGGCCCTGCCCTCATTAACCAGACACTGATGGCGGGGAAGAGAGGGAGGAGCGCAAGTGTGATTTGCAGGCTTCTCTCAGGGGAGGCTGAGGAGCCAGGCTAACAGGCTCCCTCTGAAACGAGCCAAGGCTGGAATGCTTCCAAGAAGGTGAGGCCAGCACACCCTGAAAGGGCAGTTGGGACCTTAGAGCAGATGCAGAGCCTGTACCTTAACTTTTACAAAGCCTCTGGTGTGTGGCAGCATCTTCTCGCGTGAACCTGCTCATGGAGTCATCGGGAGCTCCTCATTTCTGAACGTGCTTGTTCTCCTTCTGGGTAGAATTGTGCCTTGCAGAGGAAAGTGTTTGGGTTTTTGCATTTCATTTTACTTGAGTATGTTATTGATTTTTTTCTAATTTCTGATAGACACTACTTCAAAATATTTCCTTATTAGACTTCAAGGACAGTTGCCCTCACCCTAGCTGCTTAGCTGTGTGCAGTAGGCGTCAGGACTAACAGCTTTCCAAGGCAGAGGGCGACAGACACATACTCGATCTGCTGGTCGCCATTGATGAGCCTGTTTCAGACAATTAAACACAGCCGTGGGCAGACCAGCTGGAAAGGCAAGGAGCGTGCTCTGTGTGTTAGGAAGACCCGCAGGGCCCATTTTTAGTCTGACTTGTTTAGACGTGGCCACCATCCTTTCTCTGTCAGCCTAGAGCACACTGATCTCACAGCATTTGACCATACTCAGAATCATTACCTCGCCCAGACCAGTGCAAAGTGTTCTCACGTCCTGACCTCTGTCAACTGCAGCCCACCCTACCCGTGCTGCCAGAGACACTTTCCTACTGTGCAGCTCCAATCGCCCGACTCCCAGGCTCCAACACCCTAAGAGTTGACCTCTAGAGCCTTATCTATCTGCTTTTCTTAAACACACCTTTCACTGGCTCACCTGTTCTTGAGCCTGAGTGCCTTCCTGCAAGCCCACCCATTGGAATCCTACCAGTTTTTCAAGGCCCATTCAGATGTCGTCTTCTTCATGAACCCTTTGGGACCCCAATTCCCACATAGTGCTTAGAGACTTCACTCTTGTCTAATGGAGCTGTCCTCGGCCGTGTTTGGGTGACTGGGACTGGGTCCTTGTCTTGCCCCCCAATCCTCTCCTTCCTCCACCTGCCACACAGTGGGAGGTCCCAGAGCATGGAACCCTCGTAGCACAGTCTTTGGGGACCTGTAGACACTCACAGGGAGGTGTTGATTGGCACTGGATCAGTGTCTCAGGCATCTCCACGCCACGGGTAACTTTTGGGCAGCAGTAACTTGAAGGTGGAAAGAGAAGCAGTTATTGGCAGTACTTCAAAAATGGAAAACTAGGCAAAAACAGGGTTCATTTTGTTAAAGTGATGTTACCCCACATTGCTTAAGCAGCATCTCAGTGTTTAAGGTTGCCCCATAGAATGTTCTAGAACTTACAAAGGAGTCTCTTTTTTCTTCAGAGCACTGTTTTACAAAGTGTGTGAATCCCATAGAACTGCAAAATATTTATAATACTATGTGTCCAAAGGGGCCCATAATGAAATATTTGAGAAGCGTTGGATTAAAGGATTAAATAGTTAAATAAATAATTCAACACAGGCCTTCTCAGAGCCTTTAACACACTGATGAACGTTGTAGGGCTCCAAGAAGAGAATATGTGGCATTTCCCAAATGTATTTCACTGCAGGAATTTCGGGGGTGGGGTGAGACATTTCTCACGAATGCACTTCAGGAAGCGCCGTCTTAAACCGTGGACCGCAGGCACCCTGTAACTGCACGCAGTCTTTGAGTAGTGTGATCAGAGGTGTAGTGGTAGGGATAGCATTAAAGACTTCCTGGACTGTGTTTTTTATTTTAAAAAATCAGAGGCATTCTGCATAACAGCGTGGGCAACAAAGCGCAGTGAGGCTTCCGAGGCGAGGCGTTCGTTGGGGAGCCTCCGTTTGAAAGTGTGTGTTTAGCAGTCATGGCTTGACAGTTTAAATTACAGACATTCCACACTGATCATTAAAGCTTATGTATAATTGGCTTAATTAGACACAAGCCGCATGAGATGTCCCGGATAACTCCGACTGTCTCTGCTTTCCAGTTCCTCCCGCAGAGGTCGCATTCTGCCAGCGCCGCCTGCGTGACCCCCCACGGCACCGTTCTGCACCGGACCCTGGATTTCGACGAGTTCATCCCCCCGCTCCCACCGCCACCCTATTACCCTCCAGAGTACACCTGTACGCCCTCCACCGAGGCCCCCAGGTTGGTCTTCCGTGGATGCCCCCATCTGGAGGCCTCCAGGATCAGAAGCGGTCATTGGGAGGTTGGAACGGTCCTGCCACTTTCAGGGGAGAAGTTGAGCAGAACCGAGAGCCGCCGTCCACGAGTGTGTTTTGTGAGAGAACAGAGACGGCGCGGCGACAGGAGTGGTGCTTAGAAATAGAACATTTCTAACGATGTCTCTGCAAGGCGGCCCACTCGAAACTGGCGGCAGACAGGAGCAGCTCCGTCGTGTTCTCACGACGCACAAAGCCGCCGTCGCATTATACTCATTCGTAGAACACGTAAAGTGTCATTAAAGATTTAAGCAGCTGTATGATGGTTTTAATCTTAATGGACAGGGCCATAGAGTTTATAGAAAATGTTGATGTCCCTCCAGTAAAAACATGAGTGAAAGCTGCCTACCGAATTGGCTTTTATTCACAACCATCATGAGTCCTGGAGGAGGGGAACCCCAGCAGTCCACGCCCCAACCGCTTTGAGAGTGATGTCAGCTGTTCAGGTTCCTTCCCCAGGGAATGACAGTGTGATGCTTCTGCCTTTTCAGGGGCCTCCACCTGGACTTTGCTGGGTCTCCATTCAGCACTTTGTATGACGTGGCCATCAACAGCCCTGGCCTGCTCTACCCTGCTGAGCTGCCCCCTCCGTATGAGGCAGTGGTGGGCCAGCCCCCTGCCGGCCAGGTGAGGCCCGGGCCCAGACAAGGCCAGTTCCTGTGGAAGGTGGGGGAACCCTCCCCGCCTGCCCCCAGAAGGCACCACGTCAGGTTGTGAGTTGGCTGTGTAGTTAGCACCCGTGACCGCCCAGTGCCCTGGCCTACCGTGCACACTTGTATCTCTTAGGCCTGTCCACAAACCTGTGGGATGCTGGTCTCGTTAGCCCTGTGCTGTGCATGAGGCATCAGGTTCAGACAGCGGAACCTGCAGAGATTCCAACCTAGACCTGGGGAGCCCAGTATTTGTGCTCTTCCCCTTGGCTGCTTGCTCAGGCTCTGCTGCTATGCATCGCCACTCATATGGGTCTGAGCTTAACGTGTCAGTGTGTCTGGGGACGTGGTGCGGAAGGAACTAGGATAGCTTCTAACCCATGGGCAGACCCCCCAAATCCAGGGGACCTTGGCCTGTCTTGACTACATGCTGCTGTCACCATCTACCAGGGAGGTAAGACAGCTGTTCTGGATCCCTGGTCCTGTCTGAGACCCAGGCCAGGAAGTGTTTCAGGCCTTCTCTGAGCTGGGCGTGCCAGGCACCCCCACAGCCTCTTGGTGCCTGACACATAAGAGGGTCTTGGGAGGAGTTCATGGAGCCTCAGTACCGTACCAAGCTCATGAGATGAAATGGGTTGTTGCCTGCAATGCAGCCAACTTAGGACTTGGAACTAAGTAAGTACTGAATTCAGCAAAAGCCAGTCGTCCTTTGTGGGGTATTATTTTCATTTTTGTCGTCACTGCTGTTACTGTCATTACTGAGTATGGAACGATGCTAGCCAGGGCAGAGAGGCGGGAACACCTGGAAAGGTCATGTGGCAGCTGAGTGCAGAACGGTGGTCGGGGAGGTCCTGGAGGCCTTGAGGATGGAGCATGGGCAGGGGACACAGGGGAGTGAAAAAGGGCAGTGGGGGTGGGGGCTGAGCCAATTCTGGGCTCTGAGCACCAAGCAGAGGAGAGTGAACACCCAGGACTGCACTTTTGGACTTCTCAGCAGCCGTGGAGCCCCTGGACACAGCTCGCAAGCCTATCAGGATGATCACGTCCACAAGGACACATCACCTTTTGCAGGCTGGGCTGTCTTAGGACAGGAGGAGATGCGCCTTCCTTGTGCCCAGTGGAAATGTGGACATCACATTCAGACACCGTTAGACTCAACCCATAAGAGGGGGGAATATTTGCCATAGGGACTCTCCGTCAGGGTGGCTTGCAGTGGGCCAGATCGGTCTCCAAACCCGCCCAGTAAGCCCCCAGCCCGTCCTCACATGAGCAGGCAGTGCCTTTGCACCTGCTCCCACCCTGAACAGACGTCAGTCCCCCAGGACTCCACCGGGCCAAGGACTCTGTCCGCAGGAGAAACCGACATGTGGAAACTGCCTGTGAGGAAGGACCTTTTCAGTGAGGAGAAAAAATGTGGCCCTGAAATCTCATTCCTAAACCTGCAGTAATGGAGATGCTCTTGGATATTTTTTAAAGCTGACCTTTAAAGCAGGGACCTCTGCTTTCCCGATGTGGTTTATTTTTCTGTTTATGATAAAAAATAATTCAAATCAGTATTATCAGTAGAGACCATTTGCTGTGATAAGAGTTATCACCAGTGCTCTAACGGGGGCGCCCAGTGCACTGTGGGACACTTGTCAGGGGCTCAGGGCCTGTGTTTGGGGGGTCCAGGGAGGACCTGAGAGCTCAGACTGGGTGGGCGTCAGGCAGGCAGGGTTCAGGCGGAGGGTCTGGGAGGGCTCTTGGGAGAGGGAACAGCCTGTGCAAAGGCTCAGAGGGAAGGAAGGAGCAGAGAGGACACAACACACCCGCCAGAGACCACTCAGGATGAGTCTCGGGTGAGTGTGTGTGGGTGGAGGTGACTTGTCTGGGTGTGGGGGATGGGATTCTGAATGAGTGCCCATCGGGCGATAGGGTCTGTGGTTCAGCAACTCAGAGAGACTGGAGTTAGCTGCAGAGATGGTCACTGGAGCCTGGGAAGTGGAGGAGGGGGTGGGGGCACCCAAAGAGGGGAATGGCTTCGAGAAATGACACCATTGTGGGTGGAGAGGAAGGGCACCCACCCACATGGCAGAGCACTAGGCAGGGCTCTGGGAAGCCTGCATTTGCAAGAATCAGCAGTTTGGGAAGGAAGTGATGGGCCAGCTGTGCCCAGAGGCTGTGATGGCCAACGCCAGGTCCCCCTGGCTCACTGTGGAGGGGCTGTGGGCGACCTCTGCAAGAGCAGCTTTGATGGGCTGGAGAGGCAGGAGCCGGGATGTGCTGGGCAGAGGCGTGGTTGGGGTGTGAGGAGTGGGGGCACGGGTGTGGCCCTGGGTTTTAGACTCCGGTGGGCCTCACCCCCCATCCCAGGACTTGTTAATCAAATCCCGATGGCTGGGCCCACCCCAAGGTTCCTGATCAGTAGGTGATGGTGGGCTAAGGATTTGCTCTCCTAACAAGTCCCAGCTCCTACTGCTGCTGCTGCCACCGCCCCAGGGACGAGCGCTGTGAGAACAGGAGTGGATCACTCTTGCAGGATGTTTGGTAAAGAGGAGAGAAGATAGCATGGTAGTTAGAGGGACGTGTGGGTATAGGGTCCTGAGGATTCACCAGGCAGATGTGGAATGGCCCAGAGGGTGGAAACCCACAAAGTCCGCAGGGGCGTGTGATTCTCCACTGCTGCCTTGGGATAGGAGGGCAACCCTGCCCCTTCCCCGTCTGGACGGTGACCCTGCCTACCGGTCACAGAACTCCAGCTCTGTGCTGGGGACTGAGTGTGGGCCTCCTTCACGCCCTCCCTTTTGTGAGCCATTATCCCTATTTCCAGAAAAGAGAGTTGACTGGAACGATTCATGATTCTGTGTGTACAACCCCGTGGAGAGGGACAAGCCCGGGCGTGCTGCCCGCTCAGAGCCCTTGGCCCCCCAACAACACGCCCCCCCTGCATGTGGAGCCGGCCCCCAGCTTCCCAAGGCCCTGGATGCTAAAGTAGCTCTTGGGCTTGGGTGAGACTTTCAACGCGCCACCCACGGCTGCACACCAGAGGGACATTCACTCGTGTTGCATCACTAATGTACTCTTTTCTCTGAAGAACAGAATATATTGGAGGATGATAATACTGGCTCTAAGGCCAGTAAGACTCCATTCTCCAAAACTCCTGGGAATTTTCTAAGTTGAGCTTTCTTTCACAGACCTTTGGTGAGAAGAGCTTTAATGTCAAAAGCTTGTCTGGTGTTAGCTTGTGTTGACTCAGAAACCTCTAGCTCAGAAGTGCTGCGCAAACGTTATGCATTATCCGTTTGAGTGCATCTGTCTGCACGGCCTTTCTCTGGGCTACCAACCTGGGAGCAGGGCAGCATCTGGTGATTAAGGGATTGCGGCAGCCCTTGGGCCAGTTCTCTTTGACCCCATGGTCTGGGAGCACTTTTCAATTCCACAGACGTCCCTGGGAGTCTGGAAGTCAGTGAAACCCATTACCGTCCGCAGAGGGAGGCTGCCCCTGCCAGCTGCCGCCACCCCGGGCAGCCCGTCCCACCTGATAGACAGTGAAGAGCGGCCCCTTCACAGCGGGACGCGTCTCCCTGGGCGACAGGGAGGTCAATTGCTTCCCCTTGTTAGGACAAATGGCGTATAAACCGCCTGTCAGCACTTGTTTGGATAAAGAGAGGAAGACAGACGGACGGAAAAGCGGCTGTGTGCGGGGCAGGAGAAGATATTTTTGACTCGGGAAGGAAAAGCTCTCCTTGCCTGTGATGTTTATTTATTTATTTATTTATTTATTTTTTTGAGACAGAGTCTCACTCTGTTGCCTGGGCTAGAGTGCTGTGGCGTCATCCTAGCTCACGGCAACCTCAAACTCCTGGGCTCAAGCGATCCTCCTGCCTCAGCCTCCCGAGTAGCTGGGACTACAGGCATGCGCCACCATGCCCAGCTAATTTTTTCTATATATATATATTTTTAGTTGTCCAGATCATTTCTTTCTATTTTTTGGTAGAGACGGGGTCTCGCTCTTGCTCAGGCTGGTCTCAAACTCCTGACCTTGAGCGATCCACCCGCCTCGGCCTCCCAGAGTGCTAGGATTACAGGCGTGAGCCACCGCGCCCGGCCTGTGATGTTTATTTTGACCCCTTTGCCTGGATGGGTCAGCCGCACACACGTTCCCTTCTGGCTTAGGTTGCGGTGGTCTGAGACTATGTACCCTCCAGCGAGTTCGCTGAGGGAGTGAATTTCTTTCAGTAGCAGGAAAGCGATTGAGAATTTACCGGTCTGGTATCTTGTCTGGGTGACCAGCTCATGTTTCAGGGACCATTTACAACTGTGCAATGGAGAACTGTGGCCTGGACGGATGCCCTCCCTCGGGGCGCTAACAGTCTGGGGCGGCAGGGCAGGCACAAGCGAACTTCTTTAGGGCTTCAGAGGAGAATCAGACCTGGCAATCTGGGTGGGGCTGACGTGCGTGTAAGCAAAGGGGAGGTCATCGTGGGGGGCCCAGCGTGGGCAAAGGCGCAGAGGTGGGGCGGCAGGAGGCCAGTTGTGGGAGCTCCAGGTGCACTACCAGAGTCACGGAAATAGTTTGGGTACACACTCTGTGACCTTGGATGTCAAACTGTAGAGGTGCCTTTGAAGAGCTTGGCATTTGGGTGGACATGACCCAGTGATACTTTGGGAATTTTAATTTGGTGGCGGTATGGTGGGTGGAAGGGAAACCCGAGCAATGAGCTAGGAGTCATGAGAAAGGAGACAGACGTGACAGAGCACGACCAGCCCCAAGTCCCAAAAGCTATCGTTCGTACGTTCCAAGGAAATGGCTTTTCCATTCTAAAATCCATTGGCAAAGTGTCTTTGAAGATTGCCTTGCGCCACTAGCCTAAAATCTTAACTCACATTTCCCATGATTGCTGGTAATTGCCCCAGAAGAAAAGGTCTTCATAAATCTAGTACTAGACGGTTGGCCTCACCCAGGAGTGGGAAACTTATTACAGAATTGGGGCGGAATTTCCACGCCAGGGGTCGTAGCCACAGAGCTTTCTAAAAGAAAGGAAGACGAGGAGAAGTTTGGCTTTTTTGCCAAATGCCAGTTGACTTTTCAATGACAACAACTAGTCAGAAAAGCACATCTGCAAATCAGTGAGTCCCAGGTGAGGTGACACCTGCCTTGGAGGGTCCAGGTGAAGTGATACCTGTGGCCTCTCCTCTCGACAGCCCTCTCACTCCTCTTCTTCCTCAGGGAGCGGTGTTTATGAGCTTTATTGCAGAATTCAAATTTCAACTTGAATTCTGTTCTCCCCCGCCCCTACTTCCTCCTGCCCTTCTAGTTTATCGAAAACGCTGTGTGAACGGAACAGCTATTTCCCCCACAGCTCTAGTGCGGCAAGGTGGCTTTTGACATCAGGGAAAGCCAAATTTAAATTAAACCCTTGACACCCTGCTTGTGAGAGGTGATAGATGCGCTCCCAGGAGCTGTCTCCTCTTGAAGCCGGGTCTGACCGGGAGCCAGAGGGAAGTGAGTGATGCTTCTGCAAAACATGAAGCCAATCCAATTTCCTGCTGACCTTGTCCCCCTGTATATTTGATTTCTCTTGTTTTATTTATATGTCTTTATTACCAGAGCTTTTTTTCTTAAAGCAGCAGGTTTCTAAGTTGCCACCCACCCCCACCCCAAATAAGAAAGTGAAACAGAGGGGTAGACATGGGAAGGGACACGTGGAATGAAACTAACTTGCAGGGCGTTGTTTTTGTGATGTAGCGGAAGATTCTTGGCAGAGGTTTCCAGAGTTGGTTATTGGCACATGGAGATGACAGTGAAAGAAGGCAAGTGCCAATGGTGGCGCGAGTTCCCGCCCGCATAGAATGAGAGCGCTGAGGAAGGAGAATAGCGTGTATAGTATTGTTCTAAAGCGTCTAAGTGGGATCAAAGGGAGCACTTAGGCAGCTCTCGCTGTCTCTTTCTCTCAGAACCCCTCGCAGGCCTCACACCTCGGGGGGCAGCTCATAGCCTTTGCGCTGGTGCGAAGGCTGCAGCCCAAGCACCTGCCCCCGCGCCAGCCTGGTTTAAAGAGGAGAGATGAAGGATACCAGCCATGTGATTGAAGTGGCGGGAGATGAGGGCGGCAGAAATGTAATTACCTGAGCTGGAATCGGACCAAGCCGCAGGGGCCCACCCACCTTCCCCAGCCTCCTCCGGAGCTCATTATTTGCAAGCGCATCCCCAAAGCAATTCTGAAATAACACAAGGATCCAGAAATTGTTTTTTGAAATAGCACAGGGGCGCGTAGCGGCATTCATGTGACGTGTGTGCAGTGTTCATGACATCCAAGCACGGGGCCTGTGCAGGCCATGAGGCCCTAACGCAGAGATGGCGCGGCCGGGCCCGCCATGCTGCACAGGACGGGCAGGGCAAAGAGGGAGCGGACCGCGGAGGGGGCCTGGCCTTTCCCCCTCAGATTCCAAGGCCTCTGCAGGCAGAAGAGGAGTCCACCCAAGAAGAAAGCTGCAGAAGCTCGATGACTGTGCAGCTCCAGGCGAGCTCCACAGCTACCTGCTCCACCAGGACAGGATGGCGTCTAACGGTGTCCTCAGGGCTGCAAGGCCCACATTCAAACTGGCACCTCGTCCTGTGTGGACCTGGACCCTTAGCCTGAGCTCAGGTGGGGTGGGCAGTCTTGTCATAACCCTCTCGACCCTCTCTGCTGGAGATGAAAGGGAAGAGAGAGCACGTGCCAGCTCTGTGTGACTTCAGGCACTCACTCAGGCCACGACCATTTGTTAAATGCCCATTCTGTGTCCACACTGTGCTGGCAGAAGGCATTGCAGGCCTCATGCCACTTTGTCTCTGTGGCCTTTTCTCTACCTGCAGTGGAAGCTGAGAGGAGAGAGAGTGGTTGAGACAGGCATGTTGGAAGTGAAGGCAGGGACTGTCCTAAGCCCTGCAGTGACTCTGGGCGCTCCCGTGTGGCCTTTGTTTGTCCCAGAGAACGCCCATACGTTTAAGGTGCGAAGCTCAGGGTGGCCCTGCAGGTGTCCTGATTGAAAAAGGTCAGAGACATGGGCTTTGGCCTTGGCAAGGAAAACTTCAGTGCTCACACCCCACCCCCTACATTTTGGGGAAGGGAGGGGAAATACACATCCCACAACACTTCTTACTGGGAGACCAGCTTCAAAGTCAGCCTGCTGCCTGGGGCTGTTGTACCGTGTTCCCAGGTCCCACCGATGCCTACCTTGATGCTCTGTGCTTCTCGCTGCAGGTTACAAGTTCAGATCAGCAAGTGGCTGAGACTAGCTCCGGGGACCCAAATGCCACTGCTGGCTTCAGCACACCAGGTAACCTTACCTCTTTCAGTATTTGGAGTGATAAGTTTATATTTGTCACCGACGTCTCTTCTCTTCCTCCTATTTCCTTCTCCTCTTCCTACTCTTCTCCCTCCCTTTCTTATTCTTTAAAGGGGTGCTTTAGCCTGTCCTGTTGAGCACCAGATAACCTCTCCACAGTTCTTCTCTTACCTGCACCCAACAAGTCGGTATACCTGGAAGACCTCACACTTTCTCTGGGTGGCTTTGTCACCTCTCCCCAGGGCCCCTTCTCTCTCACTTGAGGGGCATGGCTTTGAAGAAGAGTGCCCCCAGCTGGAGTCCACCCATTCCAGAGCAACAGTTGCGCGTGCTGGGTTATGTCCACCCGGTGCCTCCCACAGAAGCAGGTGGCTGGCTGGGGGGCTTCACAGGAGGAGGCAGGAAGGAGGGCAAAGGCTGGAGGTTGTGCCCTTGGGGTGTCCTTGAAGGACAGGTGTGAGGTGTCAGATTCCCAAACAGAGCGGGTGGGAGCAGTGCAGAGCTGGGGCTGGGGGAGGTGGTCCCAGGTGTCAGGAAAGCAGACAACCCTTCGTAGCGGAGGGAGCAAGGGTGCTGCGTTTCCAGGGAGCCACCTTCTTGAGGTCCCAGGCGGGCTGATGTGGGCTGATTTACATGGAGACTAAAGTCAGATAACTCGTGAGAGTCCCACAAAGGACCACGATTACAGTCGCAGGGCTCTCTGTCTTCTCCCCGAACACTTAGCATCTAGGAAAAATAGGAAGGGGCCGCGTCCGGATCTCTGCAGTTGTGAGATTCAGAAGTGATCTCATCCTTCTCTCGGTCTCTCCAAGGAGCCATCAGAAACTGTCCAAGAGGTGGTGTCCGATGACCTTCCCAGGGGCTACCCCAGTTCCCTGTCACAGGGTGACCACACCAGCCTGCTGCATTCCAGGGTTTGGGCTGAGGGGGTCTGCAGCCTGGCCCCACCTATTCCAGCCACGTGACTCCTACAAATCGCATGCTCTTGAGGGAAACAAGGTTGGAAAGGCGGCGCACCCTGGTGGCTCCTGGAGCCCCTTCCTGTTTGTTCTGTTTGGGCAGGTGGAGATGACAGAGGAGTCTGAGCGCCTGTCATCAGGGAGGCAGCAGGGCTGCCCCCTCCTCACTGCCAGGACCTGGGCAGTTAACTCTGTAGCTGACCCAGACACCCAGGGGTGCTTGCAACACCAGACTCCTGGCTGGGGTGCCCAGCCCCTGATGGGTCAGGAATCTGCGGAGAAGTACTGACAGGCTCTCGGGACCCCTGTCAGGCAGGTTTAACTGCAGGAAAGGCGCCTTCCTCCAAGTAGCGACGGCAGAGGAGTGAGGTCCAGGTCCAGGTCACGGGGTGGGCCAGAACATTTGTAGCTTTTACACCTTTGTCACAAATCAGCTGGGCACTATTGTGTGGGTCTACTATTTCTGGATTCTCCGTTCTGCCCCGTTGATCCAGTGTCTGTCACTCGGCCAGCGTCTCACTGTCTCGGTGACTGGCTCCAGCGTCAGCCTTCACGTCGGCAGGAGTGGTTCCTCCTCTTCATTCTCCTTTTCAAGCTCGCGTTGGCTATTCTAGGGCCTGTGCCTTCCCACATACGTTTTAGAATCAGCTTATCTGTGTCTTCCAAAGTCCTTGCTGGGATTCTGATAAGAATTGCTTTGCACCGAGAGAGCAGTTTGGAGAGAACTGACATCTTCCTCCACTGAGCCTTCAATGCACGGCCGGAGTATGTCTCTCCATTCATTGATGTCTTTCATCTCCACGTATCACTTTCAGCATACAGAACCTGTGCGTGTTTTGTGACGGGTACGCTAAAGTATTTCGCTTTCTTCAGAGCAATCGTAAATGGTATTGTTTTTAATTTCTGTTACTGCACGTTCATTGCTAGTGCACCTGATTGACTGTGAGACAGCTGTGGTTCATTCTTGTGTGTGGATCTTGCCTCCTGCCACCTTGCAGAACTCACTCACTAGTTCTAGAAATTTTTTTCATAGATTCTGGTTTGTTTTTCATCTAATAAAATAACACAATAGTAATGAGGACGTGGGTGCTGGCAGGGCCACAGGGAAGCCATTCCCCATGGTCCTGACTGGCAGCTTGACAAGCAGCCTGGGTTGCACCCCCTGCATGGTGGCAGCCCCCCAGGACCGGGCTGGGATGCCTCTATATCCCTCAGAGCTTCTGCCTTTCCCTGCACGGGCCATGCTCGTCAGCCTCCTTGTGACCAAAGCACCTGATTTCTGACTTTCAGTCTCTTGTAGAATGTGAAGTGTCTAAGCCCCCTCCACCTATGCCCTTCCTGGAATGGTTCTTGGGAGATCATCTGGTGTCCCCAACTTTCAACACCAGAGAGTAGCATTTGTTAGCCTGGTTTGGTGTTTCCACGCCCCCTGGAGTTCAGAGTTTATCCAGCATTGGGGTTTGAACGGCAGGTGCTGTCCCACGTCGGGGGACTGCCATGGTTGCCTGCCCTAATGCTGTGTCCCTTCTCTTGTAGCACCAGCTGACAGTGCAAACCTGGTGTCCGAGGGTGCCGCTGCACCAGGTCCCAGCCACCCATCCCCTGACAGCCCCATGGGTGTCCCACCACCCCCACTACCCGCCCAACGCCTTGGTTGCACATCTCTGGAGGATCCCAGCACAGGCAGGCAGGCACGGCAAGGTCCCAGGCACGTGTCCCGCTCCACCAGCGACCCTACTTCATGCACATCTGGTGCGGCAGGTATGGCTGGCCAGGCTCCCCTCTGTCCCTAGTGGTTGGATGGCTTGCCTTGGACATTGTAGCTCTCAGTGACCCCCATGAGTTGAGGCCCAGCCCTGGGGAATCCAGGGCCACAGGGAATGTGGTCTTGATGCCTGAGTCCCCTGAGCTGGGCCTGAGTGCTGAACAGCCTGTGGGTCCCTGCTGTGACCCCACCAGGCTTGTCATTCTGGCAGAGGAGGAAGGATTCGAGAGTTCAGGATGATAAGAGCCCACCAGGCTGCTCAGCCAGCCCCAGACACTACCTGTGGGTGCTGCACACCTGCTATGGGGCCCAGGACAGGTGACCATAGGCAGTAAATCTGGGGGGGGGGGCGGGTATCCTCCAGTGGGAGCTGCCCTGGGCAGGCACAGGTGTGTTTTCTGCAGCGCTTCACGGGCACCCTTGGCAGTGCGCCCTGGAGCTTGTGTTGAATCTCCCCAAGTGACTGTTTGAAGGGCAGTGCCCTGGGCTGTAGGACCCAACATCAGGTCCCCCATGGCCAGCGGCCCAGGAATTTGCATTTCACAGGAGCTCCCCTGGGAGTCTTGTGTGCCCTGAAGTTGGAGAACTCGCACCCTGTTCTTCTTGCTGTTTTTTTGAGGGGGTGGGCATAGTTTCTGCCAGGAAAGATTGGCAGGCCTTTGACTGCAGTGCCATCACAGCGGGGACTTTTTTGCACAGCGGAAGTGAAAGAATCCTAAAGAGGGCCCAGTGGGTCCTGGACAGTCTCGCCTCGGTGATCTTGTGCAGCTGAGCCCAAAATAGATGAGAGCCTGGCTGGGCTGGGAGGATGGAGCCCCCGAGAGGAGCCAAGGCCATAGGAGTCAGTCGCTGGCTGTGCCCTCCTGGAGGAGGGATCTTCCGAGCTTGCGCCTGTCGCTGTGCTCTCCCCTCCAGCGTGCACTCGCCAGCTCACGTGGAGGAAGTTCCACCCCAACCTTCTGAAAACCTCCACCTCTGCTTGTTCAGAGCTCAGAGCTGCTCTCCGCCCCATCAGGGCTCATGTGCACTCACTGAAGTCGGGGGGATGATCCCCTGCACTTGGAGGGGCTCAGGGCCCCTACCCCAGGTGAAATTCATGCTTCGTGACCCGTGACACATGAGAGCTGGAGATGAAGGGAGGGGTGGTCACGATTCCTTCTCGGCACCCTTGCTTCGCTTGTCGCCGCCATCTCCTCTTGGCTGGGCACGGCACCTGCTTTCTGGGGTCCTGGGAGCACCTCCCATGTGGGCAGGTGTGCCAGCGAAGGGTGCTGGGCTTTGTCTGAGCCACGGTGGGCCTGGCCAGTGCGGGGCTGTTCCTATCTTAATCTGCTGAGGGTTAGGTTCCGGTCAGCAGGTTTCTCCTGCTTGGCTGGCATCTAAAATATATGTCTAAGCCACGCCACAGACGGGTTATTATAGTTTTATCAGTAATTCCTTTTCCCGTTTCATGTGTTCACTGAATTCTCTTTCTGGTTAAGGTGATGCCTCGTCACACACACCCTTGTGCAGCCAGGACCTAGAAGCAGGGCTGTCGCGGGCTGCTCCGGGGACGGGTGAGACGCACCTTTTCTGAAGCCCTTTGACTACACCTGCGGGAAGTGGGGGTGGGGGGTGCCCAGTGGGCCCCAGCTGCATTGCTTCTAAGTGCAGCCCTCACACCGTCACCCATGAGTGGGAGTTTCCAACTCTCTGGGCTTTGAAAGGGCCTCCCCCTTCCCTTCTGTCTTGGCACACCTGTATCAGAGGCCACAGCTAATTTAACATACGTGTGCCTGCTACTTCACTTTATTGATGAGGTTTTATTTGGGGGGCGTTCTTACAGTTTCTCATGTTTAATTGCCGGGCTTGCTCATTGCCAAAAAAAGACCCCAGAACAGACTGCCCACACATGTTTACTTTGTGGGATTTCAAATTCAGGCTGGGCAAGTCAGGCTCTGATCTGGGCCTTGGTGAGGTGATCACAGCTGGCTTTCTCACAGGGGCCCTCAGACTAGTGTTCGTTCCATGGGTCATGCCGAGCAGCTGTTGGCCTTGTCGGGAGGCAGAGCCCTGTCCCCTGGCAGTCAGCAGGGACAGGGCCCTGGATGGTGGCTGCTGTCGTACCGGGCATGGTGCAGGGGGTCTCATTTTCCCTCTGCCACCCCTAGCTCTGGTCTTAATGCAGATTCTGTCTCTAGATGGCACCATTCTGCCCTGTAAGAGATCAGACCCACAGGGGCACAGGTCACTGAGCCGGGAAGACTGCAAAGGGCCCGGCTCCTGTCCCCGCAGGGATTCTAGCAGAGGCGGAGGAAAGGCAGGGCCCTGTTCCCCAGTCCTTCAGCTCCAGGAGGCTGCAGTGCCTCAAGGTTAACACCAGCTGGTCTCGGGGCTGAGAGGGGATGAAGGGACAGTGGAAGCAGGGCATGCCCAGGGTGCCAGCCCAGGAACTCAGAAAACCGAGCATGGTTTCCTTTGCTTTTTAAAGAACTTATGACAGCTGCCTTTTGTTTTGTTTCCAGTAGTTTTCGAATTGCATCTTTTCCCTTGATTTTTAGTTTCCAAGTCTCGCTCTGCTGTGGCTGCCTGTCGGCCCCAGCTTTCACCACCTGGGAACCCAGACACCTGGAAAATCAGCCAACAGCCAGCGCCAGAGGTCTTCACAGGGGTCTCCAAAGAGCGGCCACACTCTTTAGTGGACAGCAAGGCCTATGCAGACACCAGAGTTTTGGTGGCTAAGTTTTTGGAACACTCGCACTGTGCCCTCCCTCCCGAGGTGCGGCATGTGGTGGGCGCCATCCGCGCGGCAGTGTCCTCTGAGGAGCGCCCCCTGGAGGAGGCTGTCTTCAGTGCTGGCGTCCCGGACCAGGTATGAAGGAGCCACAGGTCTAGATGTGGACACCAGTGGACTGGAGCCACGGACATTCTTGCCAGAAGCCACCGGCCTGGCACAGAACCATCGTGGGGGACGCCCGAGAGTATCTCACGGTGGCTCATCAGGGGACAGTTATTCTCTGTTGTGAGGTGGATCTGGTCAGTTGTTCCTTTGGAGATTCCATTTCCTACCTAGTCCAGTCATTCAGAAAGATGACTCCTGTCCCCAGTGAACTCTGGTTTTATCTGGCGTGTGGCACCTTGAACTGACCAGCGTTACACAAATACAAATACAGCAACAGGTGACACTCATGTAACTTAAAGACCCTAAGGATCTTCAAAATCAGGGCCGTCAAAACCAGAATTCTCCCCGTCCCCAGTTTAGGTTTAGTGTTAAGTGGACAGAGGATGACATCAAGCACTGAGACCATTTGTCTCATGTGGTTTGCATCGCTCTATAATCAAACCTTTATCGTATTCTGATCTATTTCCTTTAAAAGGAAATAGGTAATTTTAGCACAGATGGAGCCTGGGCCCAGCTTTCTGTCTGCAGGGCCACAGGGCTATCGTATGAGTAGACACACGTGAGGGACTCCACAGCGGCACAGCCACTCTCAGAGACAGGTGGGGGCTGCAGGGGCTTAGAAGAATCCACGGTCTCCTAGTGTCCCTCGGCCTCCCTCTGCGGGGCCTCCCCACTATCTCCCTGGGCTCCTTCTGCCATCTGCCGCCATGTACCTGGAGCAGACACACTTTAGTTGTTGTTTGTTCCCTAACAATAAGCACCTATTCCAAGCCCCTCTGGGGGCTTTCCCTCATGTCTGACCTCACCTGATTGGCCTCGGTGGGTCAAGGTCTGGGGGGAGAGGCCTGCTTCTCCAGGATGTGGGTACCTCCCCATTGAGCAGGTCTCTGGTGATCAGCCAGGCAGCAGCAGACACATCTGCATGGGAGGATGCAGATTACAAACCGTTTATTTCCAGGAAACGCCCACAGCATTGGTTGTGCAGAAGTAGGCAAGCCCATCCGGGGTGTATCTTGGGTGCCTTTGGATGACTTGGGCACATTTGACTTTTTCTGCACCTCCCTCCAGCCCCTTGTTTTCTGGCAACATCAGCAGCAGCTGCTTCCCAACAATGGCCCTGAAGCAGCACCATCCACTGGAACTTTCTGCAGTGATGCAAACGCCGGTATCTGAGCAGCCAAAGCTGCCGCCACTGGCACATGGGGTTGCTGAGCCCTCGACGGTGGCTAGTGGCCCCTGCGTTGGATGAAGTAGCCCAGAGCCTGCAGGTCTCATCAGAGAGCCCGTGGGCCTGGCACAGTGGGGCAGCGGGGACCAGAAGGGTGCCCACCACTGCTGGGCTCGTGCTTCCCTCTGTCCTCGAACCCCTCCCCATCCCTTGGTCCCCAGTGTGCTGGGGGCACTTCTGCATGGCTGGAAGCTGGGCCCCCGCAAACTGAGGTGTGGGAATCCCCCAGCCATGGTCACCTGCCAAGGCTTTGAGCTTCATTAGTGTTATTGGTTGTTGCTTCCCAGAGATTAGAGAGCTGAAAAAATATAAATCAGGCCTTTCAATGACAACCTTAACTTTTCCATGAGAGATGTACTAGAGATGAACTTATGAGCACTTTATTCAGACTATGAAACAGGAAATCTCTAACGTTTCTCAAGTGAGGGCTTTTGAAGTCCCCAAAATAAGTCCCTTTACAGGTAGAGTTAATGGATAGATTTTCAGAACGGCCTCCCCTGAGTCTGTGAGCAAAGCTTTAATGCCCGGGGCCCTGGGCTCTAACCTGCACTGTCTCCGAGGTGTGAGCCAGAGCCACCAGCTGCAGGGGTTTTGCCTGCTTGGGGAGTCTACGCCAGGCTTGCGGGAGCATACAGCAGTGTCCCTCGGGTGGGCTAGGGCTGCAGTTCTCAGATCTGGCTGCAGTTCCCGTGAGGCCGAGACACCTCCACCCTGTGGACTCAGCCTCTGGCATTTCCACTGTGCGGCCAGGGTGAGGCACTGCTGGACCACCCAGCCTGGCACTCTGAATCCTGCTCTTCTCCTTGTCCTGTCTGCCCCCCGGGCTCCTCCCCCAGGCGGTGCCTCCCCCAGGTGCAGGCCAGTGGTCCCAGGGGTTTCCAAGTGTCCTGCCATTCACACCTCAGCCTCACTCAGTGCTGTTTGCTCTCCTAGCAGCTCTATTTGTGGATAAGGAAACTGTACCCAACTTTATGCTGCTGGGCTGGAGCCTTCTGCCTCCTAGAAACAAGGCTGTCAGGGGAGGTGGCAAGGAGCCCTCCTTGGTCCACCTGCTCAGGGCCACTTGTGGGCTCTAGGAAGGCCCAGGCTCTGGGCTTCCAGGAAAGGTTCCCCAGAAGAGAAAGGTGCCAGTTAGAGCCACTAGGGAATGTGCTGGCAGCTTAACTCACCAGCTGTGGTACTCTGAGCCCAGCTCTGAGGCATCCGGGCACTGGGAGCTCTGGCAGTGGGCACCCTGGCCTTGGGCCGAGTCGGCTCATGGCCAAGGGGAGCACTGGCATCCTCCCTCACCTGCGCACCTTCCCTCCAGGGGCCTCATCTCATGCTCCCATTTTGGTATCTGAAATGGGCTCAACTGTGGCTCTTTGGGAGGTGACTCTCTCCTTTTTCGGCTACTGGGTCTTGGGCACTCTCCCTGCCCACTCCCAAGACCTGTGGGGGCCGGCAACTGCTAGGACACCACCATTTACCCGGCCAGGGGGCCTCTCGGATGCTGAGGTGGGGGAACTCTGCACCCCAACTCTGTGGCAGACAAGGTGGGGACATCGTTCACAAGGACTTGAGGTCTCCTTCAGGTGGAGACCATGATCCAAATTAAATGCTTGGGACAACCCCTGTGACAGAAAGCTTATTTCAAAAGGATGTTTTTTCCCTCACCTGTACTGACTCACAGAGGCTGCTAAGGCAGAATTTATAAGAAATTGTTTTCAAGCCACCAGAGACCTGTTTGTACAACTGCAAAGGTTGTATTTATTTAATGTACCTCAAGGTGTTTTAATAATGATAAGTGTTTTAATAAAAAATATTTCTGGTCTCTGTGTCTCTGGGGTCTAATTGGGATGGACACGGGCTGAGAGCCTGTGTGCACCGCTGGCCGAGAGCAGGGCCCGCCAGGAGTGTGAGGCAGCTGCAGCTGCCTGCTGGGCTTCCCTGGAACCTTCTGGAACAGCTCAGCTCTCGGGGTGGGAGGGGAGGAGAGCAGGTGCCAGACACAGGCAGATCCTGCCCATACTGACACCTACGCCTCGATGGGTGCGACATCCGAGGGCTTTGAGGAGGAATGCAGGTCTGCAGCTCAAAAGTTTTCTTGGATGTGGGTTTTTAAAAATGTGTATCATTTGGTGGGAGTCCCGCCCCCGTATCACCTGCCAGCCACGAACCTCCTCTCAGGAGCACATTCTCCTGCCTTGTGTGAGGCATTACTGGAATGTTCCCTTGGCTTCCCGAGTTGAGGCCCCTTCCTTCCAGCTTTGGCTCAGGTGACATTTCCTTTCATTCCCCAAGGATGGGGGCCATGGCCGGCTAACAGTTTTTGTTTCTTGGCCAAGTGAAGAATTTTATTTTGCTTTTAATTCTTCAGCATATTCAGGGGGAGGGGAGGCCTTTGTGCTGCTCTTTATAATGGAATTGCCTACTGAACATTTTTCTTTGCATCTGCCATGCGTACTTTCTGGGAAAAGAAAGGCGTGGAGCTAGAGTTCACGCTGAGAGACTTACATGGCCCTGATGGCCAAAACTGAGTTCAGGTGAGCTCTTAGCACATGTCCTCTGGGTGGCCAGGTGAGAATGTGTTCTCACTCTGCAGTTCCCCAAGAATCCCAGGCCCTGAAGGTGCCTGGTCAGTAGCTCACGACGTGGAGCACACACTGCTGTGGGCAGGCCAGAAAGAAGTGGTCGGTCCTGCTGCTCCAAGGCCCCCAGGCTGACACGGCTGGAACCCCCACCCCATGGCCTTCTGACCAAAGCCCACGTCTACCTCCATGGCCTCCCCATGCCAGGTGAGTGACACAGGATGGTGGCCCTGGAGAAAGGTAAGTGATGGGAGAGCTGCCAGAGCTGTTATTCTAGCTGGGCTCCATGGGAGCCCACAGGGACAGAGAGGGTTCTGGGATGGGTGGTCCAACGTTCTCTTACACACACACACACACACACACCCCTCTCTTGGAGGTAATTTAATTTAAATTTAAATGTGAATCCCAAGGCTCCATCTCTTCCCTTATTCAATTAGGTAGTACTCTGCCAGCCATGCCTCCTCTCTGGGGGCTGGTGGAGGAGAACGCGGGATGGGCCAGCGACTGGTCACCATGGCTGGCTGCTACAGGGCCTTCCCCACCTGACACCTGGTGACCGGATCGCCCACCCTCCGACCTCGTCAGTGATGGCTCCTGAGGCCACCAGAGACCCAAGGGGGAAGCTGAGCAGCCACTGCTGCCACCACACAGCACACTTGCAGAGCCTCAGGCTGAGGGTGCGAAGTCCGAGGACAGGCAGGCACCGCCGCCCAGGTAACAAACCAGCCACACGAAGAGCTTTTCATCAGGACTTCAGGTTTATTAGTGATATGCACGAAGTCTTCCTAAGGTCAGCTGCATGCAACACACGGGCACTCCTCAAATACAGTAATCCTAAAGCTTTAGTTACTGCGTGGTAAGGCTTCTTAAGTCACAGTGTATTCTTCAAGGCCTGGGCCAAAAAAAGAGACTTCTGGACAAAATGACGTCAGTTAACATGGATCTCTAGTGGACTGAGCTAGACTATATCTGACTTATCTACACACGCGCTAACACTGCCCAGGGCCGCGCGCCCTGCTCACGGCCGGCTGCCTCAGGAGTGGCAGAGGTCGGGTTTCCTGGTGTGGGTTTTGTTTCTTCAGGGGACACGCACAGGTGTGGATGTGTGTGTGTAGATAGATTTCAAATGGGAGCACACACCTGTGCTCCTCGTGTTTCTGGCAGGACAGTGAGCAGGT